CCCCCCTACATTTTATATTTTGTGGGGGTTTGTGGGGGATTTGTTGAGGCCATGGGGGCTCCGTAGGGTGCTCATAGACGTTGGGTCGGCGCCCGGCGTCCGGGTACGTATACGTACATACATCCAAGGGACGTGCGTGTTCGCTCCTTTGGTCTCCTTTCTTTCCGAGAACCACGATCAGCACTGCTCGGCTGTTGTCGTTGGTCTACTGCCCGCTTAGACTAGGAAATTGGAGCGAGACCAGCTGTGTGGAGAGCAAGTAAGCCGGGTGTGCGTGCAGGGAGAGAGAACAATAACGGTCCTTCGCCAGCAGCCGGCAGGGGTAGCCTCTTCCTTCCACCGAAATATGATGGAGGCGGATTGGGCGAGGTGGGACGCGATCGAGCTGCCTCATGGCGGCAAGTTCAACTACTGGAACGAGCCTTACGCAGAGGTTTACGACTGGCACCCTTGGCTGCGAAGGTTCTACACTCAGCGCGAGATTAACTACGACTGCAAGGAGGTGAGTGTTGACGCCTCGACGTTTTACACGCTACTGCCGGAGCTGGCGGACCTTCGACGGTCGTGAGCACTCATGCAGTTTGGGACCGGCGTGCGTACGTTCGTGACTGCTTGTGATTCTTCTGAAGTTTCTGAGCATGTTCCATGCGCTACGCCACCGTCCGTCCGCCCTCTCGTTTCCTTTCGGGAATGGGTCGAGGGCGCTCGTAGACAACAGGAGTCGAGAGCGATGTCTCGCTTTTGGGAAACAACGGCAAACGGTCACTGAATCATCACGGCTATCAGTCCCGAACTGGTTCTGAGCGATGATCTGGTACTCCGCGCTCCCGCCGACAGGCAGGAGAGCGAGTGAAGCCGACACCTGATGGCCTACTGAGTTCAGATCCTCCCTGTCATCCGCCGTGTGTGCGTTCGGCACTCTTCTTTCTGTCCTCATCTATCTATTGCTTACAGATGATGAGCATAAGTATTTAGTCATGCACGATCCTTTCAGTCATCTTTTCCTGTTGAGATTGGAGATCGGGCTACAGCTTTTGGCGAAGAGAGACTGACTAACTCGTGCACGTAAAATATTACGGAGTGTGTCCTCGTGCCGACTATGGCTTCCTCTGAACAAACGATCGCACCGTTGTCGATCACCCATGTGTTGGATCTACACTACGGTAACATTGATTGCAGAGATGGGGTGAAGTTCTACCCCTTCTGAAACACAGCAGTCACCATTACGCAGAAGCAGGGTCGCGGGGAGCGTGAAAGGGTGTGAGAGAAGAAATCGCTTTTGAACGTTTTGGCGAACTCCACCTCCCGCACCAAAGAAGTACGGGTAGCGCAGGGCTGGGCCTGGTGGTGCCAACAACAGTTTGGCTTGTGTAGCGTACCTGCCTGCATGCACGAAAGCCAGTGTGCATGTTTGCAGTCGATTTTTTTTTTTTCTTGAAACGCCAGTCCCGTTCGAAGGCGTTACTCTGTAGCCATGCATCGCGTACGTACACGGCAACGTTGCTGTTTCACCACCAACAGCTCGGAACAAGCCGAAGTCCGTCATCCTATTGGCTGGCTGCTCCCGACGTGTTCCGATCATGAAACGTTGTGGGCGCGAGGGTGGGGTTGCGGGTGTGTATACGTACGCATGTTGCGCCCAGAATATGAGCGCTAAGTTGATCGGGTTCAGGGGAAAACGGTTGCTATTTCGCCCTTCATCGTACGGTGGGGGTTACGGTTTAAGAGAGCTCAGTTTAAGAGAATTGCCGATTTAGCAGAGGTCAAAATTGCTAGATGCACCCCTCTCTCCAACCGAACCCCGAATCTCTTAAACCGAACCTGCCCCCCCACCCCCCACCCCCTACAGCCCACCAGCTTCCCCCCACTGCAGCAGCTCATGGTAAGCTACCCCGGCCATGCTGCACCTCTCTGCTATTTCTTCGAGGTCTCCGAACTGCCTAGATACGTCAGCGTACGGTGGCGGACAAGGAGAGACCAGGGTCTGCGTACACTGTCCCTCGTCACCCGCCGAAGAGTCGGCCTCGTCGTCGTCCGAGTCTATGTTCAGTTGGTCCATGTTCAGGTGGGCAAGCGACTCCTCACAAAGGTCGTCCTTCAGATCTGCAATGATCGCCTCCTCTACATTTTTCCTCTACACGCAACCGAGGAAAAAGAGGGTGTAGCGGAGGCGATCATTGCAGATCTGAAGGACGACCTTTGTGAGGAGTCGCTTGCCCACCTGAACATGGACCAACTGAACATAGACTCGGACGACGACGAGGCCGACTCTTCGGCGGGTGACGAGGGACAGTGTACGCAAACTCTGGTCTCTCCTCGTCCGCCACCGTACGCTGACGTATCTAGGCAGCTCGGAGACCTCGAAGAAATAGCAGAGAGGTGCAGCATGGCCGGGGTAGCTTACCATCTTCGCAAGGCGAAGTTAGCCTGGATGAGCAAGGCTGGGTCAAAGAAAACGAAGCAAACATGCATGGCAGACTTCCATGTAAAGTTGCAGAAGCTGCCCACAGGCGATGTTCATGGACGTCTGTTTTTTTTTTTTTAAGGGAAGGGTGTACTACTTGTACTGCTGTAGGTGCTTGAGTCACTGGTCTTGAGTGTTTAGTGTGTGTAATGCTCACGTCTCTGTGTTCTGTTGGTAGCTATCCTATGATATGCACTGCTGTTTGTCGAGATGAGGTCAGAGTACACCTTGAGACCACGTAATAGTTACATCGGTTGTGCTTGTACACAACAAGAAGGAGGGATCACGCTTGGTGAGGGCCCTATAACGCACGAAAATATTGTGGAAATCTAAAGAAAACCTCTCTTAAACCGTAGCCCCCACTGTAACGGCCGACAATGTTCTCGTGTGGCAGACTTTGGCGAAAACTTGCAGCTATCTGGAGCTTTGCTAGAGTTGGTTCTCGCATGTTAATGCGCTCCCTCCTTGTCTGTTTCATGTCACACCACTGCTGTCTGGTATCCTACAGCGTGAAGCGGAACGGTTCGGATTTTCGAACGCCTGTGTCTGGCAGGATCGAGAGCGACTGAGGGTAGCGCGCGAACGAGCCCCTCGTGCGTTTAGGCGTTGTATTCGTCCCCGTTCCTGCACCCTGGGCGCCTTGCCTTTCCGCACGCGTGCCCAGAGCACGGCAGAGCCATCAGACGCACTTGTAGGGAAAGTCGTAGGTGAAAGAAAACGTGGGCAAAAACTCCCGTGGCTATGCACATACGTGCGCAAACACACATGACAGTTCCGTCCGACTTTGACCGACATCTGTACCGAATACATTCTTTTTTTTTGTCTCCCATCACTGGACTCTGTCGTCTGCCCCTCTGGCCCCTATCCTCCATTTCTACCAGCTAGACGACCCAACGGGGGTCACACAGGAGGGGGGGGGTTGCATGTAGTCTTGTGAAAACCCAGATTTGTTGATCTCAGCGGTAGTGCTGTCTGGACCTGTCCCAACCGGACCCGGGTTAGAGTTACCCTTACACCACAAGCCCCCACGCCTCTTGGGGCGTGGCTCTGCGTGCTCGCAAGCGTGATGTCGAGCTCTTCTGGGTCGTCGTTGCTCTCCAACGGTACGCGTGTTACAGCAAACAACACACACAACACGCGAGCCACCCCTTCCCCCACGCGAAAACTCTCTAAATCCTCTTCTCCGGCCGTTCCCGCGCTCCCTTGATTTGTACGGCTATCGTAGGCGTGGCATTGGACCCGCGATAACAGCCCCTGGCTGCCCATACTGGTCTGCATGGGGTACCTCGCTTTCTGCTACGTGGGTCCCAAGGTGATGGCGAACCGGAAGCCGTTCGACTTACGGAGGCCGTTGATTGCGTGGAACTTCATGCTCTCGGCGTTCTCTTTCGTTGGGATGATGAGGTGAGGGGACAAGGGGGGCGGGGGAGGCAACGGCAGGATGGCTTTACACGTTGTGTGCGGTCCGAGGAACAGATGTACTTTGTAGGTCATGGTCATGGGGAGCGAGTTGAGCAAGGTGCGGTACGGTTGGCTCCGTCACGTAAGAATATCTTGGTCCCTAAGCTTGCGTTCTAAATTTCCTTTGCTGTTTGGAATGGGGGCTATTATATTGGATTACAGCAAGGTATTATATGCAGAGGTTCCCGGCAAGTTATGCAATCCATTCGAAAGTTGCACCTTCAGCTCTCGTATGCTCAGTTCTCGAGTGATCTGTAGTCCGAGAGAGATGGAAAGGGAATACGGCAAGTACCGGGTGAGATGTGTCAGGAACAATATAGAAACGACGCTCAGCGGGGGTGGGAGAGCTCAAGAGGTCCGGTGATTGGTCTCGGACTTGCGATTTTGACTAAACGCGTTGATGAAACTTGCCGCACGCAATGGGAATAGAGAAAAAAGAACATTGGTTAGTGTAGCAGTAGTGTGCGAACTCCTGCGTCTCGTCCCTTCTATGTCACGCCGACTAATGACCTGGGCGTCGTGAATGTACAGTGGGGATCCCTCCATACCGGCCGGCTGAGTAGTGCCGCTGCTCGGTATTGTTGTTGTTGTTGTTGTCTTCACATCTAAACCGTTCCGTTCTCTCTACCCAGTAACGTCTTCTGTCCGCACTAGTCTAACACTTGACGGGGTCGATTCCGTGGGCACAGACTAACTCACCTAGAAGAGGTGTACGAAAATGGACACGAAGGGTCCGCAAGCCAATGGAAGTCTATTACCGGTGCAATCGCTTTTACACGAAAGGGAAACCCGAGGTGTCTCATTCTCTGAATTGTACCGGTGAATGTGGCGGGCGCATACCGGCACTTCGTCGGGACTCCCACAGTAGAACCGAGTATCAAGGTTTGACCCGCGTACCCGTCAACTCTGTCCTTGGCCCAATCTCGATCCCCAGGACGGTGCCTCATCTGATCCAAATCCTCTACGTGTACGGGTTCAAGTATACCATTTGCGCCAAGCCCACGATGTGGTACGGATCCGGTGCCGTCGGGATGTGGACTCAGGCTTTCGTTTTCTCGAAGGTGAGGGCAGGTCGAGTACTTACCACAAAGGGAGGAATTGACGCGCAGGAAGGTGAGGGGGCACCGCAGATGGAATATTCGCGCAGGGAGGGGGGGCGGGGGGGGCGTACTCTTATGTTTTGCATGTCTTAGCGGTTAGACCATTGACCACGCGTCCTCGAGAGGACGGAGCATTGTTCCCATAGGACCGAAGACCCATGGAAAATCGTTCCTTTCTACTTTGCCAAAGGTGGCTCAAAAATGTCTTCCCTAGTCTGTCTATCCTAACGATATCCCTTCCCGCCTTTTCAACCCACCTCCTATGCCCCACTACAGCTACCGTCCTTTCCTCTCTATTCCATGCCTCAAACATCTCCCTGTACGTTCCATCTATTTTTCCCAGCTCAGTCACGTACACTTCCCTCTCCTTCTTGTACAACGGACATTCCGCGACTACATGAACACGGTCTTCGCATTCGAAGCCGCAATCACATTTGAACTCGTCGTCTTCCTCGTCTACCGTCCTATGTCTTCGTCGACGTTCTCGAAGGCCTATGTCCCCGGTCCTGAATTTGACCTTAAGCTTTGTTCCTGCATCCATTGGTCCATGTAGGTAGTCCTTGAACCCTATTCCTTCCTTCAACATTCCGTACACTTCTAGACCCTCCTTATCCTTGGATTCTTTGCTCAGATTCTTGTCTTCTCCCTCGGCAAAAGTAACAGATATCTTCTCCTTGAACCCCTGTAGACCCTCCGTTTCCAGCTTCGTCGATTTCGAGCCCCTTCCATACGTCCTCTACAACCTTGACCCATTTCGTGGGTTGTCTACCCCTCTTTTTGTTTGCCCACTTCGCCTCCCATACAATTCTCGGCAACCTCTCCTCTCCCATCCCCCATATGCGATACTGCCATGTCAGCTTCCTCGCGTCTTTTCCCGACGGTAGCGATTGGATCCCCAATTCTGCCCTGACGGCTGCATTACTTGTGCGCCTGGAGCATCCTAGAATGATGTTCGCTGCTTTCATCTTCGCCCCCTCGATTTCTTTGACTTCCTTCTTATTTCCTTC